TCATTTGTAGTTCTTAAACATATTCTTCTAGTCTGTGTGGTCTCCTCATTCTTATGACAGTGTCTTGGGAAGAATAGAAGTGTTTTGATGAAGTCCTATTTCTCAATTTCTTTCCTTTTATGGATTATCTGTTTAATTCCTAATAACTCTTTGCCCAACTCTAGATCACAAAGATTTACTGTATATTTTATAGATTTACACTTTTCATTGGGATCTATGATCTATTTTGAGTTGATTTTTATGTAAGATGTGAGCTCCATAACAAAGCTTACTTCTTTTCCTGTGGGTGATCATGGTTAGCCAATTGTCCCAACACCATTAGTTGAAAAGATCATTCCTCCACTGAATTGTGCTTATACTTTGTTGAAGATCAAATGGTGATGTTTACTGAGAAGTACTATTGGACTTTCTATTTTGGTCCGCTGATCTCTTTTTTTATGTCTTCACTCTGGGTCTCTTTTGACTAGAAATTTATCATGAGGAATAGCGGACAGGGCTTGGGAGAGGGAGTGTCCCTTGTGAGCCTAAGAACTAGTGATAATTAATTCTTCCAATCAGCAATCTCTTGCCACTTTCTAACTCAGCCAGATCAGCAACTGAGGTAAAAGGTTAAGTTTCCAGTTCACTTCACAGTATAACAAATTAACAAACCAAGTGTTTGCTTCATTAAATGCCTTCCTCACCCTTAAGTTTCTCTGGTGGTATAGAAATAGGCTGCTTCAAGCCAGGAGTGGTGGCACATGCCTGTAAACCCAGCACTTGGGAGGCTGAGGCAGGAGGATCGTTGTGAGTTCGAGGCCAGCCTGGGCTACAAAGTGAGCTCAAGCCTGAACTGCATAGGGAGACCCTGTCTCAAAAAGACAAAACAAACAAACAAACAAACAAAAAAAAAACAGAAATAGGCTGCCTCACAGGCCAGGCAGAGGGGAGGGGTTTGCACCCTGACTTCAGACAAAGTTTCAGATGAAAATACTTTTTAAAAACCAGACAAGGAAATAGAAAATGGAAGCACCTCTTACTATTTGATTTGAAAATAAAGTGTCATCCAAGCCAAAACAGAAGCTTAATTACCTTGACAAATAGTCTCTTTTAAAAATAATTTTTTGGGCTGCTTCTGGACTGGGCAAACTGAATGAAGCAGCCTCAGAATACTATTCTACTGCATAAAATATAGATAAAGAGACACAGGGACAGATGGAAACAGATGGACCCAAACTAGGGTCATTTCTTATGTATGGTTTTTTGGTAATGAACCCAGGTCATCTTTGCGGAGTAGAAAGCTGGAGTTCATAGCACTTGTTCCTTCCCATGAGCTATATAAATGGCAGATCTGCTGGGGTTGAGTAATCATTGGTTTTCTTCCTTCAGACTGATATTGGAAGGCTGCTCCTCTTTCTGAAAGTATAAGGATAATAATTGCAGCTAGGAAATAATACACATTTTTGTTGAAACGGTCAGATGGAGCCATGACTTTTACAAAGTGGGATTTCAGCTTCTAGGATGCACATGGCTTGTGCTCATCATTGGGTAGTTTTTCAGCATTCTTGACATATTTGGGGTGTGAATAGTGGCTTCTTTCTGGAGCAAACACTTCTACCCCGTAGCTTTGCTCTTTCTGAGTCAAAGTTAGCTTTTCCAAGGGGCATTTCCCTTTCTACTGTTGTTAATTATATTTCAAGATGAGCCAGTGAGTGCTTACTCATTATTCAACTTTTACTGTTTTTATTTTATCTCATGCCTATAAGTAGGAAAGGATTAGACTACAGAATGAGAAAAGGGACCACCCTCACTTATTCACTTGTTCATGCATTCTTTCATTTATTGAGCATCTGCTACATGCCAAATACTGTTTCCAATAAGGTAAATATTTTCCTTCAATAAGTTGTGATATACCAGAGGATAGATGCAAGTAAATCAACAAAATGTTGTATGATAAAACCTAAAGTAGGAGTTTCACATCCAGTAACTGTCTTAGTTACTTTTCTCATTGCTGAGACAAAATACCTGACATCCAAAATTAAAGGAGGAAAGGTTTATTTTGGCTCACAGTTTGTAGAGATTTCAGTCCATAATCGGCTGGCTCCAAAGCAGGGTGGTGTGGCAGAGACACATCACAGAGGAGAAACAGTTCATGGCAGGCAGAAGGCAACAAAAGCAGCAAGCAGCAAATGACCATAGCAGCCTTCCTTCTGTCTCTTATATTCTTTCCAGGCTACACACCCTCACTATGAGTAGCACTCAAACCCATAGTGGGCCTTCCCATTGTCTCACCCACTATCTACATTCTGTCAAACCAACAAGTGGACTGATTTAATAATCACACACCCTTGATCCCAGTATCACACACTCTAGATCCAGCCATCTCTGAAAAGCTCCACCTATATCTGCATGAGGCTTTGGGGGAACAGCTAGACATAAGCCACAGCAGTAGCTTGGGAACATCAGGTGGAGGTTCCTTCTCTGCCTTGAAAATCAGAGAGGTTCCTGAAGCAGGTGGTAGCTAAGACGCATTTTGGAAGAGTTGGCCTAGCAAGAGGGTGGGAGGAGGGGAGGGTGGCAGAGCTGAGAGTATTGCCTGGATAAGGGCCCAAAGAAGACATCAGGGGCTCTCTCAGTAAACTGCTACTATTTCAGGTTCACAGGGGTGTAAAGTGCTGGGGAGGGTCTTATGGACAGTTGTGCTTGTTTAATGAAACAAAAGACAAACAAGGAAATGAAAACCTCAATAACTTAGAATATCCAAGGTAGAACTTTTATTCTTCAAATCATCATAGGCTCCACTTCTTTTCCCAGCTCCCCTCTCCCCTGATTTATTCTGTAATCTCCATGGGCCATGTAGGAATGTGTTTGGATCCCTAATATCTGAACCTAGGCAACAGACCAAGTTCTAGCTATCTACTTTGCCATTTCTGGTACAAGGGGAAAGAAGACCAGCCTTTTGGTGGAGCTGTGATGAGCAGCCCATCAAAAGATTTTGTCCGGCAAATAAGACCGGAATTACTCACATACATTAAAAGAGGGTCATTTTCCTCCATGTATAAAGAAGATCAGGAAGACAGATACTTACTGAGTCCTGTCCTGTGCCAAGCAGTGTGCTAATGCTTTTATACCAGGACTTTCTATAGAAGAGGGTAATTTAAGTGGTCACGGGTTCATGTATATAATTTAAATTATAATTTATAAAATAATTTTATGTATCTTCGAATATCACTTTTATATTTAACACAATCAAATAAATATTCCATGATATTTGTTGAGGGGCAGTTATATATTAGGTACTGAAGTTTCAGTATGGACATGGTTTCTGTCTCAAATTGTTGCTCCTGTGGGTTTTTGTGTGGCATAGATGATTATCTCTGTCTGGTCTTCTGAGCTGTCAGCTTTGAGTCACTCCAAGATTAGAGGAAATTTTTGAAACAGTAAGTCAGAGAGTCAGGGTTTGTAACCCTGGTGAACTTTAACAAACTTACGTGTGTAAGACTGACACTGGGTACTGTGGCCTGTACCCACAGTCTCAGCTGATCAGGAGGCGGAGCCAGGGAGGTCACTTGAGTCCAGGAGTTTAAGACCAGCCCAGACGATATATTAAGAAGCTACCCTCCATACCTACACATATCTTGTCTCTATGTCTCCAAACAAAATAGATTAATTTGGGTGAAGCCAACCTATTTCTTTATTGGCACAAAATCGTAAGCAATAGGATTCAATAATGAGGTTAAAAAAAAACAAACAAAAAACATTTGTGCTAGTAAGCCAGGACAGGCCCAGTCTTCCCAGGACTTCTTACACTGAAGGTTTAGATTCAGTATAAAATTTTTAAGACCTTGTTAAACTGAATTTAAAAGATAAGTTATTGGTCTTCACAATAGAAATTGACCCAAAGCTGGTTTGCATTTTTATACTTGGTTTTCATATTAGTTCATGACAAATAAGGGTCCTTATCTGCCAAGGAAGGAGGAGAATCTAGGTTAATTTTGAATCCCCCTCAGGGACCTGGCACAGTGCCTTAGGCACACTGTTACTCAATCAATTGTGTGTCCATTATTCAGCAACAAGAGATCTAAATCTATCAAGAAAGCTTGCCTTCACTAACCTGTCAGATAGGATCTGTAGCTGAGAGAGTCTGGATTTGTGAGACTGCCCTAAATTGCTCATGAAGAGTAAGGGCCTAGGCTGTGTTCATACAGCACCCCTATTTCCAGGATGTGGGCAGCTGCCCCAACACATACGTCCTTCTCCCAGACGCTTCAGGTGGCCCAGCTCACACGTGACCAGTGTCTCTGCTTCTTAGGGCAAGAGACAATTTCAGATGTAACCATTTTGGCCAGCTGTGGCACTGAAGCAACTGAAGCAGAGAAGCCTCAGATGCAAAAATGGCGAAAGTTTGCACATGTAATGACAGGAACCTGGGGTACCCTTGGTTTCTTGGGAAAGACCTGCCAGAAGAAAGGGACTCCCAAGTTGATGGTTCCGGTGAGACCAGAGCTGAGGATGAAAAAAAGAACCAAGGGAGAGTAGGGTGCAATGGGACTTGGAGGAGCTGAAAGTTGGACTTGAGTTGGAGGGAGAGTTTTGAATGGTAGGCTCAGAGGGAGAGGCTCTTGCTTCATCTGTGAAAAGCTGGTATGATAGTGTGACAGGATGATCAGTGACGACAGAAGCCAATGGAATAAAATTTGGAATAGTTGGGAGCATTTGGTCCTTTTTAAGAAGAGGAAGAGTATGATTACAACCAAGGCAGCCTTGGAATACTTGGAAGCTCAGTGGAGAAGCTGTAGCTTCCCAAGGTTCATATCAGACTATGGATCAGTGGAAGGGATCTGTAGAAACAAGGTTGTAAAGCAGGACTAAGGAGGTGGGTGGAGCACCCAGCCGCCAGGGAGCTCTGATGTGGCTTTCACAGGGCAGAGTCTGGGAGGTTATGCAAATGTGAAGCCACAGAAAGCCAGTGGAGGAGGCACTACAGTCGCTGAGTCTTGGAGGCAGGCTTAGAGGTAAGTTTGGGAAGACACTGGCTGGCCAGGGAAGCATTTGCTCAGAAGTGAGCCGGACTGTCACTTCTTTAGATCACCTGATAGCAAGCTTTGATGTATACCAGCTTCAGAGAAATCAAACCTTTGTGATATTTTTTTTTTAATAGTAAAACTAGTCCTAGCAAGTCAGACTAGGAATCTACTGCCTGAACTGTTTTTTAGCACGCCTTTTTACTGGCAAAACCAGATCTGTTTCCTCAACTTTCAAGGAGCCTGTTTATACTGATTTTATTTTCAACACAGCTTTCAAGTGGAAAGAGAGAAATTACTCTCAACAATAAGTCAGCAGGTGAGCAGCAGGATTCCTGCCCTGCCATTCTCTGTGGTGTGCCTGTGTGTCAGCATGCCTGTCTGTGTGTACGTGCACGTGTACCACTGTGTGTGTGCTTTTCCAAATGCCAACTGTTGTGCCCTGATCTGATTGACAAGTCCTGATCCCTTGTTTGTAGGTGTCATGACGAGTGCCAGGTTGTTGAGCAATTTCTTATTTGTTTATTGTAAAGAAGGTAAATCAGTCTGTGGGATTTCTTGGATTGGAGGGCAAAGGATATTTACTGTCAACAGGATAAGGACGAAGATATAGGAAGATACTGAGCTCCCAGGTACAAAAAGAGGATAAAACAGAAGGGAGACACCAATTACGGGGCTTTCTGCCTTGAACAGAACTTTTAAGCATTTGAGTGAGAAACACAATTTAGAAAATTGCCTTCTGGCTATAGAAGTAGGTAGGGTAAAATAAATAAATAAAAATTAAAATGCAGGTTGGTTTCCAAGTCAGTTTCACCAACTCTCATTTTTATTTATTTATTTTTAATTTCTCAATAGATTACAGATGGATTCTCCATTGCAATTGGGAAATGAGAACTTGAGTGAAGAAGTAAAAAGACAAGTTCCAAGCCCGCTTACACAGTTCCAGAGAAATTTCATCCAGACGGTAACGTTGCTGCGAAAGCTGCCCGCGAGGGTCCTCCACTGCAAAAAACCCCGCGCAGCTGTTACTCTACTCAGGATTGACCAAGAAGCCGTGAAATCCCTCACAGAGGAAGACGCAGAAGATTTCCTGCTAAGCAAAGTAAGGACAAATTCTAGCCTTTCCCACACATTCCTCCATCCCCTCTCTCCTCATCCCCAGTAACAGTGATGCAGAAAGGGTTTCACTGCCTGTAGATATATGAAAAATGCTCAGGAGCCAAAGACCACCCCCACAAGTGTATTTAGGGACTAGACATAATTCATTCCTGTCTTTGTGCCTCTGATGCCCAGACGCATGGTGGATATTAACTACGGAACAGAACTCTAGCTCTGTCGCTCAAACTTGGTGGCCAGGAGCAAGTCACTTAACCCACCTGAGCCTCAGCCTTCTTCTCCATAAACTGGGAATGATAGTAACAGTGTCATAGTGGGATCACAGAAAAAAAGCAAAAGAAATTAAAGTTTTTCAAAACTACGAAAGCTAGTTTTAAAAAAAAAAAGCACTATTTTTCAATATACATTAATTAAGAACTAATTTAATTTCTTCTGTGCACAGCCATAGGTTCTTAGACTATTAGAATTTGGAAGGACATTAGTTATTATCTAATTTAAGCCTTTGCATTACAGATGAAGCTACTAAAGTACAATATTAATGTTTAAACTAAACAATTAAATTAAGAGGTAGGGACTAGTCTCCAGCAGAGATCATTACCACAGTAATAAGTAAAGTGTATTTCTTAGGCAAAACCGCTAAGTGAGATAGATAAGGAACATCTATGGTGATAACAAATTAAAGTGATTTTCTTTACTTCTCCTCTTGGGGGGTCTAGTTGGAAAGGGTGTTGTCTGACATCTTCCCATGAGTCCCGTAGTTTCTGTCAGAAAAAAAAAACTAATTTTTTTTAGCCTGGCATTCAAGTAATTTCAACTGGCCTATCCTCCCACCCTCTGCTTCCCCTGCATTTTCAACAGTGAAAGTTCTGGACAGTGAATCCCATGTTGAATCTAACCCATGTACATGTTTGATTTGACCCACAAAGCATTTTTCAAATTTTCCAAAATTTTTACAAACATTTCAAAATAGATTTTGCATGGAAATCCAGATTTTGCCTTTTCTGGGGAGAAAAAAATCAGGAGCAGGCAACCACATGTTCAAATTTGTTGCCTAGAAACCGTGGGCTGGAGCTAAGTGCCAGACTGTAGATGTGCTGGTCAGTTCCCAAGGGGTACACGCCTCTGGGCTCTGACACTGTCCCCTGTCCCCTTCCCATACATGCCCCCTACTCCTTCCCTGTAGAGGGCTGAGTCTCCCATGAAAACACTGGCCTGAGCAGGTCTCAGGCCCCAGTTCTCCACTCCACTTTTCTAGTTCATAGGCATTCTTCAAACTCAGCTCAGAACGCACCTTCTCAAGAAAGATCCTCTGACACCCAGCACTAAATGTCTTTGGCCTCTTAAGAACTCCCGTCATGATCATGCCTGATGTTGTTTTGTGGGCAATCTCCTGTGTATTGACTCCTGAAACTTTTGATATTAGTGCTTTGGTTGATGAGCTAAATATCAAGTTTCTGGAGGCAAGAATAGTGTTTTAGATGTCCTTCTTCCCTTTAACCATCACAGAATATCTTGTACTTTAGTGGTTAGAATATCTTCAGGATTCACTGATGCTAGGGCAAGAGTAGGAGGTGAGGCACATATAGCATCTTATTTACTCTAACCAACAACCATGTGATGTGCATATTGCCTCCCTTTTTATAAAAGAGGAAACAGCCTCCTGGAGATGGGATAACTTATCCAAAGTCCCACAGCTATATGTGAAGGTGCTGAGGTCTCACCCTAGTCTCTTTACTCCAAAAGCCAGTTTCCTCTGCTGAACTCCTGTGACCCTCGGCAGACACCCCTGAATACCCATTGGGTGCCAAACCTGTGCTGTGGTTTGTAGAGCTCCAGGCCTGAGATGTGTCCTGCTCACTGAGGGAGAAATCTTGGATTTGTCTCAAGGGTGGCCCTGTCTTGCCTGCAGGTTTGGCACACAGCTCCAAAGGAAAGAGGAGGAAATTCCCAGTGCAGACAGGTAGATGCTTCCAATACCACCTAGCAGATCCAAGGCTGTGGAGAACCCACAAGAGTGCCGGAGAAAAGAGGTGTTAGCGCTGATGGGAGAAGGGCTCCAAAGACACTTTGGGGGCAAAACGGGGTAGGTGGGGTTTTAGAGAGAGGAGAAGTACAGAAAGATCTAGGCCAAAGGATTCCCATTCAAAACCTGAGATGATTTCCTTCTCAGCCACTGCCTTTTCTTTGGGGAGGCAGAACAGGGCAGCAGTCACGGATACAGGCTTCAGAATGATATTTCCAGGGTGCAAATCCTTGTTGTGTAACAACCAAACAACTCTGGGACCTTTGATAGAAACTTTCTGAGCATCAGTTTCCTCATTATAAAATGGGAACCATCATAGTATCTGCCATAAAGGATTACCGAAAGGCTCAAGTGACCTACTCTGATAAAGTGCCCTGCACCCAGGCAGGACCCAGTCATCTCAGCTCCATGGTTCTGCTGCTGTACAGCTTCTGCTGCAAACACCCTGAGTGGCCTAAGAATTCAGCTCATAAAGAAATTATTCCGGAAAGACAGGATATGATGGTGGAAAGCCCACTGCTTCCTCTGCAGCTATATCTGAGTCTAAGTATCCATCCTTTTAAACTATTAGTCGCTGGAGGACAGTGAAAGTGCCTTCTTGTTTGTTGTTGTCTTTCTGATTATTGAGTTTAAAGGCAATTCTGGAATTAAATGCTTGACTTCCTGTTTTGTGGAAGGAAATGCTCAGCAGTCTTTCCCAGCACTCGTCCTGGATGGGTTTCACACTGCCCACCTGCCCTAGGCATGCCCAGGCCGGTGTGACGTTCCTGGCATTCTGCTTAGCACCCCTCCACCTCCCTCAAGGAAGCATGTTCCAACGGGAGCAGGTCAGAGTTGTGTTGTTACAGGGAACAATCCTGAATTCCCAGTAATTTATATTTGAAACAGTGAATTACTCCAGAATTTGAGCTATTAATAGTAACAAATGACTTGTGGGAACAACAGTAGGCCAGAGGCTGCGGCTGAGAAGCAAGGGAGGGCAGCCACAGAGGACGTGTGGACACACGTGCAGACATGTAGACTTGAGCAGACAGAGCGAAGCCCACGCAGGGTGGATGGCACCGTGGCCTAACTTGCTGGGTTAGTGCAGCAGCGAGCTGGGCAGGATGATCTCAGAGCAGCTAACCTCGCGGGCCTGGCTAGTTTAATACCGTCCATTTTGCCTTCCCCTGTCACGTCTGCAAATGCAATCTTTTAAAAAGAAAAATGTGCCATACTTCATTGATTTAATCGCAGAGCAGGGGAGTAAAGCTTGAACAGACACCCGAGGTCAAGTTTGGATTGAATATGCTTGAGTTCATTTCTTACATTCTCTTTCCATTTAAAGTTTCTTTTTAAAAGCTTTTTTCTGAAAAATTGGTGAGGAGGTTGCCTCAAGGCTGCACCTGGTGTCCTGCGTCCTGAAGTGTGAGAGGCAATAGGCTCTGGGGCTGGGCTTGGAGGGGTCTCTGTGGCCGAGCACCCTTCTTTTATAGAGATAATTCTTTTGTTTGTTTGTTTTTTTGTTTTTTTTTTTTTTTTTTGGTTTTTTTCTCCGGTACCGGGAACCGAACTCACGACCTTGCGCTTGCCAGGCAGGCGCTTTTGCCGCTGAGCTAAATCCCCAGCCTCAGGCTAGCATCTTCTTGTGCTGTCTCTCTGGCCTGTGGTCAAAATAAGTGAGGGGCAACAGAAGGTGGGGTTCTCTGTTGGGGTTTCTATGGTGAGGATGATAAGAGGTACACGAGACGGAGCTTGGGGTCCCGAGCAGAAAGCACTTCCAGGGCTGCTGATTGCTCAGTGAACCTATGAAGGTCAGAGCTCAGGGCAGGAGTTGTGGTCAGAGACGCAGAGGAGCAAGACCGGCTGCACCTAGCAGAAAGGAGACTGCAGCCCAGCTCCTGCGGGGACAGATGTGTCCAGGGCAGGTCTGGGCCTCCCCGCCCACCTGGCCTCACTCCAGTCCATACCTGGCATCACTGTCTACCCACTGCTAGTGTGCTTGTGGGAATGACTGGTGACATCCAAATACATGGAGACTTTGGGTTCATTATTTCGTAAGCCTAGACTCCAAATTAAGGGCACTTTTTGGATTTAGGAAGAAAATAACATGTAGGTTTTACTTCCAGTACTTGCGTTCTTACAGCACAGCATAGCGTGGTGGAAGGAGGAGTGAGGGAGCCTGGGAGGTGCAGGAGGCTATCTCACCGCTGAACCCACTCGCGTCCCACAGTCTGCTGGGCCCTGCTGCAGCCAGTCTTCCTACTGCCTGGCCGCGTTTACTCATACACCTAACTAGTCCTTCGTTCCTTGCAAAGCTCTTTCAATAGTCCGTCACCTGAAGTCCCCTACCTGCTACCTCCCCACTTTACTCACCACATTGCCTTGTCCCCACTCCACAAAGAGAACAAATGACAGGCGGGAAATCTCGGCAGTTCCCACCGTTCCCTACCCTTTCCCCTGCACCTGCACCCGCACCATTTCCTTTTTCCTTCCAGTACATCCGTTGAATTCAACACCAAGGCTCTCGGATTTGCATGACTTCTTCCACCTGGGAAATTCCTACTCCATGGTTTTGCCCTCTGCTGCCTCTTCCTTCTCGCCTGGCCTTTTTCTCTGAGTGTTTAAACATGCCCAACTTGTGTGTCATTTTGAAAACAAACAAACAAACAAACAATCATCCGTTGGTGCCCCTGCGTTTTCATTCTGCTTGCTTCCACTGTCAAGCTTCTTGCAGGAGTTGCTTACCTTTGTCCTCTTGTGCTTGTCTCCCAGCCTCTCTTAATCCACTTCTTAATGCCCACCCCTCTGCCAGATGTAGCAATCCTACTCCTAGAGGCAAAACTTTGAGATGTTTGTGGAGCACTTGTGAAAACAGTCTTCTTTTGTTTTTAAGAACTCTCGCTGTTTAATCTCCCACCTTACCAAGGAAGTCTCTGCTCCCACCATAACCTAGGAATAATTGTGATTCTCTTTGTTGTTTTCTTCATCCCTAGATACCTACCATATTCTCTTTCTGGAAAAATCTTCATGTCTTTCTTCCTCGTTAACTCTGACTAATTTTTCAAGATGCTATTCCAACATCCTCTGCCTCCAGGAAGCTGCCCCGCTTCCAACTAGAGGTGCTGTTCATTTTGTGTGTATCCACAGCATCCTGTGCAAACCTCTCCTCAGAGCACAATTGTGGCAATGTTGACTTCGAGTTTATTAGTCTTGCTTTGTCAGCTCACCTGCAAATCTCTAGATGTGCACCATGGAGCCCAACAGGAAGTGGATGGTCAGCAAAAATTAGTGAAATGAAGGTGAATCACAACACCTAGGGTAAGCCCCACACTGGAGAGGGCCTTTAATTATAAGCTTCTAATAGTGTCCACTCTATTTTTGGCAGAGAAAATGACTTGCTCCTCTGTGATCATCTTCTCTCTTCTGCTAGTACAATCTGGAAGATTCGGAGCCTCCATAGTTTAAAAATCTTTGAGGAGGGCACCCTTGATCCCTTCTCCCATGATAAATATAGTGAGGTGGACATTAAAGGCATGTAGAGGGGTGAGTGGCTGCTCGAGGAGGGCAAAAATGTTAGAAGATGATGTGGACACAATTACCATATTTGAGATAAGGCAAGACATACACTTTGGAAAATATCACTCCATGTATATGGTATATTTCCAATGAGACTGCAAGCTCCTTAAAATAGGGGGCTTCGTCTTACATTTCTGCTCTTTGCAGTGTTAGGTGTCTGGAAGGTATTAGCTTATTTTTCAGAGACAGTCTTCTGCTTGGAGATATGTTCATATCAGCCTGCAGATTGGATCAACTGTCTCTGCTGGACTCAGTGGGACACCACAGTTCTACATGATGGTCCCCCCACACTTATATTCTCTACTGACATCTGTCGACTCCAAGTGGGAAGGGCGTGGTTATGAGTGTTGTATTTCTGTGACCCAGTATGTAATGTGCCCAGCATATAACAGGTGTTAATATTTATAGATGAACTGATTCTATATGGGATATATAACACGGGTATCAATTGATGTACCCTCACTTATGTAGTCTGCATATGTGTGGAATAGTTTATTGGTCTTGGGAAGTATAAGATCTCAGTGGCTGGATGTCATTGATGATTTAAGAAACACAAATCTCTCTCAGGTGGACTTCTTTTCTTGATATTTTGACCAGTGTATAGACGTCTCAAAACTACTGTAGAATACGTAGAAATAGCTATTAAGCCAAACTCACAAGAAATGAAAAATTCATGTATAGGTACTGCATTTCATTATACCATATTTTACTTAAATCAGCCCCTGCCTGAAGGAGACCCGACAGCCACAGGTGCCTCCCGAGGAATGTAACAAAGAGCCCCCTGCACTCAGAAGAAATGTGAAGACTCCGCACTTCTTCTTTCATTTGGATTTTGGGGTGCCTCCTGCAGCTTCCTAAAAGTTCTTTTGTGTTTCCCACAAACATCTATTTCCTTAAACTTCAGTTATCTTACCAATGTTCAGTTTTCTGCAGGAATTTTCCAGTACTTGGTGACTCATAGCAGCCCGAAGAAACATAAATACATGCTTATCCTTCAGGATCTAACCCAGTGGTGGCAAACCTATGACATGCATGCTACAGTGGGCTGTTTGCTATTATTGAAAGCTCTAAAAGTTTCACCATCTCAGGTCTAGCAACAGAAGGAGGAGTGAATCCGGAGCTGAAGGGAACCATTGCCCCGTGATGACATAAGAGAGAAGCAATCTGCTGGGTGTTTACATACACTAAACCATTTAATATTTACCAACCTGAAGAGCTAGCATTATTATTCTGCTGTGGTCTCAGAACGGTTCCCAGAGCCTTTCGCGATCATTTCGCCCCCAAATGAATCTCTTCTCACGTTTCCTCATCTTGCCCAGCTCCGACCACTGTGGCCTCCTCACTGGGCCTTAAGCCTTGTCATGCTGCTCCTGGTTCAGAGCTCTTGGAATCTGCTTTCTAAAGCTGCCTGCTTGTCTCAGCCAAATGTCTCTTGTTTACAGAAGCTCTCCCTGAGTAGTCCATGTGAAATAGTAGTCCCTTTATTCACTACTTCTTTGTCCTAATTTATTTTTCTTCATGCCAGTTATCAAGCCTAATACTACATTACATGCACACCTGTGCACACACACCCTGTATCATCAAGAGAAGGGCAAGTGTCTCTATCTTGTTTACTGCTGTCTTGGTCACTGTTGTGTCCCAGCACCTGGGCTGGTGGCTACTGCATTGTAGATACTTGGAAAATATTGAAAGAATGCACCCATTTCTGAAAAGAACACTGAGGCACTGACATGTGTCATTTCAGTTGGCATCAAGTCCATCTCCCCTGCAGTCTTAGGTAGTCAAGATTGTTATTCAGAACTTGTCTGGTCATTCACCACTATGTCCTTGTCATGTCACTTACGCCAGTGCCTTGGGGCTCCCACAGGAAATAACCATCTTGCTGAGACCCTCATGATGGAGACCACTACAAAGTGGATTTGAGCAGAATTTAATATTAACCAGTTGGCTTTCCATGTGTACTTGTCAGTTGTCCAAAGCTTAGGTACCTTGTCTGGAGATGGGCAGAGGACTCATAGTAAGTGAATCTCTATGAGTCACTGGTCAGCACTGAGGCCAGTATTGGCCTGTGAAGCTGTGATACTGCAAAGGACAAGATAAGGCCACAGCTGAAGATGTTTGGCTCCAACCCCAATTAACTAAAAGGAGACTGCAGCTGCAGGCTCCACACTCCTACAATAAATGCCAACCTAAAGATAAGGTAGTTCTCCTGACTGACATAATTTACTACTTGGGAAAATATTTCCCAAGATCCTGCTCAGATTCTTGTGTTTTCTTGAGTATCCCCCTCCTTTGTTTGAAAACCAAATAAATACGGGCCACCCAGAGAAATCTTGGTCTTAACCAGAGAATCTTGAGTTCAGTAAGAGAGTTGGACCCTCCTGGAGCCCTAAAATCATCTCAGTTGTCTCATTTATTTAAGCCTTTGCCATCCACTCTTTTGGGAGATTGCGGGCCTGATCAGCCCACAATAACTAGGGTTATTAACCCAATACTCTCACATCCAGGTGGACTTGAGGCGCCAGCAGATTTCCCACACTCTGGATGAAGTACAGGAAGTTATTCACCAGTTGACCACAGAAGTCAGCCGTCAAGATTTAAGATTTCAAGCTGTACCTTATTCTGACACATACAACGGGAACATTAAGGTAAGCAAATCTCACTTGTGTCTAAGTGTTCACCAACAGAGTCAGAATGTTCGGGTGGGTGGAATTTGGTGTGTGGCAGGTACTCTAGCACTAATAACATATCATGTTCCCATGAGTGCTGCTAGGTTAACCATTTACAGTCTCATTTCACAGATGCTATCTCATTTGGGCATTCTCATCCCTAGATGATGGTAGTAGTCATTTTCCCATTCTTGAGACAAAATACCTGACACTCACAACTTAAAGGAGAAGAGGTTTATTTGGGTCATAGTTTCTGATGGGTTCAATTCATGACTGGATAGTTCCAAGGCAGAAATAGCATGGTGGCTGGGCCTGGTGGCATATGCCTATAATCCCAGCACTCGGGAGGCTGAGGTAGGAAGACCACTGTAAGCTGGAGGTCAACATGGGCTACATAGTGAGTTCAAGGAAGCCTGAACTGTATAGTGAGACCTGGTCTCAAAAAAAAAATGGCATGGTGGAAGGGCAAGGCAGAAAAATCCTGTTCATCCCATGGCTGCAAGGAAGCAGAGAACAAAGGGAGGCACCAGAGATAAGAATATTCCCTCTAGGTCATTTCTCCAGTGATCTGCCCTCTACAAGCAGGACCCACCTCTGAACACAAGTCTTTAGGGAGACATCTTTATATTTAACCATAACATTCTGACCCTGCCCACCAAAAGGCTCATGTCCATCTCACTATGCAAAACACATTCATTCCATTTCTGAGTCATCAAAGTCTTAATAGTTTCAGCATTGTTGAAAAGTCCAGGTACAAAATCTCCTCTGAGAGTCAAAGTAAACTCTTAGTTGTCATTGCTTCAGACTTTATATATATTGTTCTTAAGAATTAGGAAAGAATTTCATGTGTTTTATGTTTTAAATTTGTCACTTCTATTCTTTACAGAACCTTGTAGTGCAAAAATCTTTTTAAAAAGTAAAAAAATAAAATGCAACTCTTAGCTGTCAGATCCTGGAAAAAAATTAAACAGAAAGTGAAACATTTCCAGCATACACTGGTACAGGGTTAACATTCCCATTCTAAGAAGAAATAGGAACATACTACAAAACCTGACCAAAGCAGGATTGAAAAGCAGCAGAACAAATATTAAATCCTGTAATTCCATATTCATCACCCAGGGCAGGTTGTAGTGTGATGTGAGCTCCAAAAGGCTTGGGCAGCCTCCCTCCTATACCATTGCCAGTTGCAGTTCACATGGCCTCTCTCTTGGGCTGGCTTTGCTCACTGCCTGTATCCTTTCTCAGAAGACATTCCATGTCCTCCCAGTATCTCTTACTTCCTGGCATCTCCAATGCTCCTTTTGCATCACTCTTCACAGCTTTATGCATTTCCTGTCTGGAACTCCTGGTAGGGCATACGACCCAGTCACAAATTTTTACCTGGCCTCCTGGGCCTTCTGAAATCTGGGTGAAAGCATCCATGACCCCCTTAACTTTTGCATGCAGCATGCTTGAAAAACCAGCAACATGTGGATGATGCCAAAGTTTGCTGTTTTTTTGAGCAGGAAACTGACCCCCTTGAGTCAGGGATGTAGCTGCTTCTGAGCGCTTGGATGGCTGAACTCGAGGAAATACTTCCCTTGGTAGCCTTTAATGAGCAGGGTGCCCAGTTAATTCTTTCAAAAGTGTTACTTTTTGCACTCTTGAGCCTAAAATGAGTGAGGTCTAGCCATTTCCTGAGATACCCACAAGACATCTTTCCTGTTGTCCTCATGCAAGTTACATACCTTTTCAGCAACCAAGGTCTCTTTTGCCTCAACTTTACAGGGACTTCTTTCTGGCCAAGTTGTATAATTTTCACATTCTTCAGGTTTTTTTCCTGATTTCAGTATAAATCTGGCTAAAAGCAGCCAACAGTACCCCTGCCAGAGCCTGAATATTGGGCTGTCTTGAAATTTCCTCTGACTGCCCTTAATCTGAGCCTCTTGCAAAATTCCAGAATATGGATGAAATGCAGATAAATCCCTTGCCAGAATGCAATACCCATGGTTTCTAGTTGAGTTTCCAATAGAGTTTTTGTTCCAACTGACACTTCCTGAGCCGGGTTTTTATTGTGAGCATTCCTGTCAACATCCCAGCCTTCTGAGCTCCCATCAGGATCACCCATTGAATGCTATTTATAGCGTTCTATGGCTTCTCTACACTGCATCTTCAAACCTTTCCAAACTCTTCCCACAAACCAGTTCCAATTGCTTTTGAACTACATGATCAGCAGCAGCTGGTTCTAATCTCATTCCAGGTACTAACTTTCTGAATTATTCAATTTCTCATCATAGAGACAAAATAACTGACACCTGAAACCTAAAGGAAGTGAGGTTTATTTTTGGTCCTGGTTTTAGAGGATTCATTCCATGGTTGGCTGGCTCCAAGGCAAAAGCATAGGAAGAAGGGTGGAACCAGAGAAAAGAATACAGGTCACACTCCCAGTGACCTACCTTTCCCGACCAGGCCCTACCTTCAAACAAAAGACTTTTGGGGGACATTTTAGATATAAATTAAAAGCCCCCAACACTTTTGAAACCAGGGACCAATATCCTGGAAGAAATTTTTTCACAGACTTGGGTGCAAAGAGATGGGGAAATGGTTTTGGGATGATTCGAATCAGTGTGCAACCTAGATTGCGCATATGTACGATTCCCTGTAGGATTTGTGCTTCTCTAAAAATCTAATGCCACTGCTGATCTGTCAGGAGACAGAAGTCAGGCAGTAATGTGAGTGATGGAGAATGGCTGTAAATACTGTTGAAATTTTTACTAACTTGCCCATGGCTTACCTTGATTTTGGTGTTCACTCCCTGACTGATCAGTGGCTGAGTCCTGGGCAAATTCCACTGTCAGAACTTTCTGTGAAGAGGAGGTAGCTGACCTACGGGGAAGGTTCAGGGTTGAGTGGGCTGCTGTGCATTACAGCCAAAGTTCAAGTTCCCTTTGGCAATACTGCAATGTTGACCGACTTGTTCTAGCCTTTGAACTGTTGACCTGGCTCTTTTCTCCCTGACCGCTGTTTACCTGGTTCCTGGAAAAAGGGAGTGGGTAGACTATGCTTGCTTTTCTCCATGATACTTACAATCATCTCAATAGCTCACATTGTCTAAGCAAACAGGCTTTCATTTCACCTTTGATTTTGCAACAGTCATTAATTCTGGCCATGGGTCATCCGGACAGATGAAAGAAAGGAAGGCATTCTGCAAACTTCATTCACTGCTTTTCCCATCCCCTCCCACCCTTTATTCTTGCCAGAACTTCTACACATTCCAGGTCATTCATTCTACATTGAGAACTAGCCCAGGATAGGAAAATAATCACTGAATGAACTATCAAAAGACTTAAACTCAAATTCTGGTTCTTACGCTTACTAACGATTTGTCCCTGTGATGTTCAGGTCCCTTTAGCTGCAGGTCCTCCATTGCCCACCTCAGTGAGCCACTGTGAAGGCCCGATGGACAAATGGAGGAGATTACCATCTTCGTACACGTAGAACTCAGTGAATATCACTTCCCTCTCCTCTCTTTTCTTAAGTTTCCTCCCCAAACTTAAGTCCCCTCTGGAGTTCCAGGTTTCCTTCACTCCTTTTCACTTGTGGATCCAGGAAACCCAGATCTCAGTGAGTTAATTTGCCTGCCACAGCATTACCTTGGATTAGTGGCAGAGCAAAGATGTAATCATCTTGCAACACCCAGGCCTGCTTTTGCGTCTACCTGGGCACATTGCTGAGGGCTGAGTGGTTACCTGAGCTGCCTGGCTCATCATGTCGGCTCCCAGAGGGCTTCTGTTCCCCTACAGTCAGTGAGCTCATGCACATCCTCTTTCCTGACCCCAGGTTTTGGCGCCCAGTCAGTTCCTCATCACAGTGCCCATGAGGGGCCTGGCTGGGTACAGAGAAGCCAGGGAGCAGCACTGGCGGTACTACAGCTTGAAGGGCACCCGGCTCTCCTGCCCCTTGCGGGCCCCCGAGGGCCTACAGCAGTGGCTGCAGGTGGAGCAGTTCATGAAGAGCATCTGGCAGTGGCACGAGGCCGACGTGAACATTGAGGGGGACATTGTGCCCGCCAAGGTCCTCCAAGTGTTCCGGCAGCTGGTGGAAAAAGCGATTACAACCTGTCACCTCTCAGGTGAGCTGATCAAGGACAGGCGTAAGGGATGTTGTGCTGTTTCCCTTTGACTCTAAAAACCTTGCTCGGATGTTACCTGAGGCAGGAATCATGTGCTTGTTACATCCTTGAATGATGTGGGACATTCCTCTTTCTTCTGGCTGACAAAGAGGTGGGAGCTAGGCATGGTGGTGCATGCCTGTAATCCCAGCACTCAGGAGACTGAGGTAGGAGGATCTTTGTGAGTTCGAGGCCATCCTGGGCTACAAAATATCTCAAGGACAGCCTGAACCACATAGCAAAACCCAGTTTCAAAAAGAACCCCCCCCAAAAAAAGAGAGAGACAGAGAGAGAAGGTAGGAATTTGTACTCACTGAACACTCCTGAGGATTTAAGCAGATTACTTTCCTGGCACAGACATGACATGCTGTGAATTATGCACCTTTTCCAGAACCTACATGCACTTGTCTAAAAGAGCAAATTATTTACAAACCCTAGATATTTATTAGCAATTTCTTGTGCAACAGCCTCCATCTGACTACAGCGCCCCAGTGCACGGAGATACTACCTTTGTGATGTGCAATTCCATTTGTTTGAAGGAAAGGATACATTTGAATATTCTCATAGTACTCATAGCTCATGGATAATGGATTCTCATAGAAAACGCTTTCATGGATGATTTAATCTCCACAACCCTAGGGAGTACTTTTGTGCCAGTTTTACAGATGAGAAAACCAAGGCTCAGATTAAGACTGGGACAAGTACCTAGCTAAAGGTTTGCACATCAAGTGCAATAGTGAGCAGAGCGAGCTCCAGAGGCAGGGGAGGGACCAGACAGGCCGGCTCCCATTTGCTCACCCCTTTTAATTTGCAGCATTATTGCTAGTGAAAGTGCAAGTAAGCAACTCAGCCTGGGCCAGGATTGTGAGGTGATTTAGTAAATGATGCTGAAATGCCAGACAGGCTCAAGTTCCTGTCCGGGTAGCTCTGATGAGAGGCAGACGCTCAGCCCTTTCTCACACCTGGCCAAGGAAAGTAATGTTTTCCTTCTCGGCAGCCTAACACAGTTAATGAGCTTCCATTTACTTCCCTGAGCAAGGAAAAACAAAAGAATAGGTCTTGATTCAGGACTCATCCTTATCTGTAACAAAGGCAAACAAACAAAACACACCATAGTGAAAGAAGGGGAAGCAAATTAAAAATGAGGACAGTCTAGTGTGTAAGTTGGAAAACTTTGCCAGGATCATTTTCCTTTCTTTCCTCCATGTTTCTCTGTCTCTGTGTCTCTGTTCTCTGTCTCTGTCTCTGTCTGACTGTCTGTCTCTCTGCCTGGTTGGTAGAGAAAGTAGTGACCCCCTAAAACAGTGACTATGACATCCTTTGAAAGGCCTTATGATTGTGGGATGATAAGTATACCTAGGGCCTGAGTGGCTCATGGCTGGATGGTAGAAATACCATATAAGAGACTTTGACTCCGATAGAACTCCACCAAAGTGACTGTTATTGAGCAATGTCAGAACTTCTGGGTGAAGAATGAAGAAATGGCACTGTCTTTCCTTATGTTTGCGTTCTGTGGAAAATTGATGTCTGGGTGCTTGGGTGAAATGAAGAAAGATACAAAGGATTTACTTTTCTCTCATTGCTGGGACAAAACACCTGACCCTCAAAGTTAAAAGGGGAAAGGTTTATTCAGCTCACTGTTTGAGAGGTTTCAGTCCATAATCAACTGGCTTCAAGGCAGCATGGAACACAGTAGAGTGGTAACAGTGCAAGCCCAGAAGACAGCAAAAGCAACAAGAGAAAGTGAGACAAGACTCCTTTTGTCTCTTATATTGTATGCAGGCTACCCGCCCTAGGGCAGGTGTAGCTCTCACACTCTTAATCCCAGCATTGGACCATGAATCAATCATAAACTCTAGAAGCCTACCCGATGACTGCATAAGGCTTTTGGGGGGACATCTAGACACAAACCCTAACAGGGTAACCTATTCTTTTATTTTGTGGCTTCTTCAGTTGAACCTTCTGAAAATAATCTATTAATTTAAATGGTTTGGGGGTATAGCTCAGCGAGAGCACATGCTTGACATATGTGAGGGTCAGGGTTCAAGCTCCAGTACCACATACGTAAAATAAAATAAACTAAGTACCATAAAATTTTTTAAAGGAATGGGAATTTTCTAGCAATGTTGTAGCAAAGACAGGCTGGCTAACAGTGAGGTTTGGCTGTGGATGCCCCCGCTTGAGTGCTGTAGACACTGTGGGAAAGCTGCCCCGGCAGTGACCAGGAGCCCTCACAGGCACTGCTCACAGACAGCTTCCTTCTCTGAACGTTTGTGTGGTCCGTGGCCCCTGGCCTGTGGCCTGTGGCTCTCTTTTCATTGTCGGTCTGATCATCTCCCTTCAGGTAAAGTGAGCATGCTGACAAACAGCCCCGCAGTCTGGGTTGCCGTGGAAACATCTGTCTGTCAGGTGGAAATCGAGCTGGCCCCCACAGTGGAGATCCCCACTGCCTGGTCTGAGAAAGCCCAGTGGCCTCGATGTAGGAAGTGCTGGCCTTCCCCAGAGAAAGTGGAGTGCATCAAGGTATCCGTGACTGGGGCCCTGGCTCCCCACGGCAGAGACGCTAGCAGCCTAATGGTCTCAGCGTTGTGCCACTCAGCTCCCGAAGCAGAGCTGAGGGTTCCCTGGATCTGCGGTTCTGGAAGTGAAGCATGGGGCCTGCAGACCTGATGGAGAGGCCCCACCCTGGACCTGCTACATTAGAATTGGTGGGCAGGCCCTGAAGTCTGTGTGTTTAGGAGCCCTGGAGGGGGTTGGGGTCTCTGTTGCAGGCTGAATCCTTCTCCTGCCTGCCATCCACACTCAAGATGGCTGTATCTTCCCCAGGTCCCGTTCTGGTCCCATGGGGGATGTACTCAACCCTCCACAGGTTCCACAGGCCAGCCAGTGGCTTTCTACCTCAGCAAGCATCATCCTTCTCATTTTCTAAATCCTGGATTTTTCTCTTTCAGTCCTTTGGGTTCAACCTGTTGGCCCGTTCTAACTATCACTGGCAGCTGAGCTTCTCCCAGGCCGAGCAGGTGCTGCTGGAGCAGCTGGATGAGGATGGGGGCTGCCGCAGACAGTGCTTTCAGGCCCTGAGGCAGCTGATGGAGGATGTCTGGTGTCCCGGGAAGAGGCCTGTTATCACCTCCCACCATCTGCAGGTGAGCTGGAACTGGGGTACGGTGCAGTACAGCTCCAGCAGCTGTGGTTAGGTGGGGACCCATAGCCTTTGTGGGCTCAGCAGAAGCAGGAGAAGAGTGTGATGAATATGGGATGGGGCTGTAGTTTCCACAACTGCAGTTCCACTAATTATTACTCGCGTGGAAATATGTAGACCTTAGCGGTAAGTGCATCTGCAGCACTCTGACCGGGGAAGGCAGCCTCTAGCTCCCTCCCTTTCCCTTTCCAGTTCCCTGGTCCCCTGATCTTTTCCCTGTTTTTCTACTCTTCCCCCTCCCTCCCTCGCATTCTCCTCCTCCTTCTCCCCCTCCTTCACCTCCCTTTCTTCCTCCTCAGCCTTCTTCTTCTTCTTTGGTATGATGTCAGTGATAATTCAGTGATTTTTTTTTAGATTAGCACATAATAAGTGCATACATTTATGGGGTACACTATGATATCATGATATATTACACAATGTGTGGTGATCAAATCAGGGCAGTTAGCATTTCTTTCTTGTCAAACATTTATCACCTCTGTGTTTTGGGAAGCTTTGAACTCTTGTAGTTATTTTGAAACATAGCATCATTATAAACTGTGGTCACCCTAATGTGCTCCAGAGCGCTGCTCTGACTCCAGTAAGCTGCTCTTCAGGCTTCTTAATTTGACATAAATAATCCTGTTTCTCTATTTTTACTTTCTTTACATGTGCTGTTGCGCCTTTCGCAAAAACCTTTGCCAACACCAGTGTCTTCAGAGTTGCCCGGCTTTATTTTGGTGGTTCCATCGTTTCGGGTCTTACACTCAGGTGGATCCACTTTGAGTGCATTTGTGTGTATCTGGAGAAAGGTACACATGAATTTCCAGTTCTCCCAGAACCATTTAAAGGAGACATTATTTTTCACTGCATGTTCATTTTTTAAAAATGCATATAATTTTTGAAGTGTATTAACTGAACATGTGAAAAGGGCTCATTGTGATATTTGCACACATGTATATAACATGTATTGGCCAAAACCAACTTTTCTGTACCCACCTCCCCACTTACATGCCATGCCTTTCCTAATCCTAGTGATCACTATTCCACATTTGGGTCAGTGTTTTCCTTAGCTCCCACCCAGGAGAGAACAGGTGGCATTGTTTTTATGTGTCTGGTTTCACTTAACAGGATTTCCTCTAGTTCTATCCATTTTGCTCCAAATGGCAGCTTTTATTCTTTTTTAATGACTGAATAGTATTCCACAGTGTATTTGTATCACATTTTCTTCGTTCACTCATCTACGGATGGACACCTAGGCTGATTCCACATATTTCTTGATGCCCTTTTTGGAAAGCTGGAAAGGGAGGGGCCAAACCTCATAGACCAAATCATATTAAAAATTGTATTTTTTTAGCGCTCTGGGAAATTTGAGCCCAGCCTGGGCAACTTAACAAGACCCTGTCTCAAAATAATGAACAAATACAAAGGCCTGGAGATATATAGCTCTGTGCAAAGGCCTTGGGTTCAAACCCCAGAACCCAGGCCTGAAAAAAAACAGCAGGAAGTTAAACAGTGGAAAATTTGAAGTGCTTAGACAAAAAGGAGCAAGGTTTTATATTTCAAAACGTTCTTGCAGACTGTAGCATGGATGGTGACAGGTTGGGTGATACTGAGGAACCAGTAGCAGCTGCTGCAGAGGCCGGTGAGCTGTGGTGGCAACATGGAAGAATATCATTGGCAAGGAAGGCAGTGGACAGATCTGAGAAATCCTTGGGCAGGAGGCTTGGCAGGGTTCAGTGTGGGTGGTGAGGGAGAAGGGTGACACTAGGCTCGTGGCTTGCAGGTTTGTGGTGCAAGGTCGTTGGTTCGGTTTGGACATATTCAGACTGAGGACTTTCATATAACCAAGCACTGCAGGGAAGGAGGTCAGAGGAGATCTGAGCTGGAGAACATGATTTGCAAATCACTCATTACTCGGAATGAAGCCTTTCAGGAGGGAGGGTGTGGATGGGAGAAGCTGGCCAGCTGAAAGGTCAGATGAAGTGAAGTCTGGAAAAGCCTCTTGGGTTAGGAAACATGGAGGTCATTGGGCTTAAAGGGAGCAGCTTTCAGGGTTAATGCAGGAAACCTGATGGAGTGAAAGGAGGCGGGGACTGAATGAGAGAAGAGGAAATGATGCCCAGCAGTGGCACTAACTCTGGAAGCCCAGGGTTGCAGAGGTCAGAGTGAGGGCAGGGGAGCTGAGGGATTAGGGGAGTGGGAGAACAGGGACAGGCTGAAAGGCCATGGAGGAAGAGGGCAGTAGGTCATACACAGCTCCTGGGAAGCAGGACCCAGAGTCCTGGGAGGGGAGAGAGGATGGTGCCCTGTGGGGAGAACTGTCTGGTTTGAGGGAATGAGATTTTCTGAGTTCCCTGTAGAGAAGGAGGTGGGGGCATCTGCCTGGAGTGGGGTATTATAGATTTAAGGAGAGTAGTGACTTTGGAAATGTCAGAGGACACTAAGAGAATAAGGTAATGAAGAGGCTTAGGAGACCAGTTGGGTTAGAGTGAGCACGTACCTGAGGTTAGGATCATGAATTCGTGGAGGATGCAGCTTCCCTGAGTGACTCCTCCCTCCTTCCAAGGCCAGGAAAACTCAGCACTTGTTTCTGAAGATCTTCTCCCCAGCTGCCTGAGCCCTGTCTGACAGCCCCTCCTCCCTCCTCAGATGGTGCTCTTCTGGACTTGTGAGAAGCATCCCCACCTGAAGGACTGGCAGGATTTCGAGAACGCCTTCCCGCGCCTGGTGCGGAAACTGCACAAGTGTGTGAGCCAGCACTTCCTCAAGCACTACTTCGTCCCCAGAAGCAATCTGCTCCAGTCCACCAATTCCAGTGAACTGGACTCCCTGGCCCAAAAGCTGGCCTTCTTCCTCAAGAACCCCCGCATCAGCCTGCCCTGAGGCTGGCCCTGCCCAGGTGTCCACGACCATTTCATTGTGACTTGACCTTGTTCTTTCGGGATGGGCCTCTACCAGGTGCTGGCGTCCTACCCAGGAGAGGCACAACACATGGCAGAGGGGATCACCCCAACCCAGTGGCACTGCACAGCAGGAAAGCTGCCCACGCATCGGAGCCAGGCTTCCTGAAAGCCGAGCAAGTGTTCCACCCTCACTACCAACCTTGGCCACAGCACTCATCAAGCTTGCCGCGCCACTGGTTCCGAACTGACACCACTGTGATGAGTTTAGTTTCCCCCATGCAGGCTCAGACAGTCTGTTGAGAAAACCGAGACAGAGACCCCGGAAGGCCAGAAAGTAGTGTGCTTTCCAGGAATGTTCTTTAACTGACCGAGCATGGGCTCCTTTTCATTCCTTTTGTAAAGCAGAGCGTTAATATGCATTCCTCAGAGCAGGGTGGAGCTTCCCACACTGTGCAGGGGCCTTCATAAGAGGAGGACATTGGAGCAACAGGAAGCCTATTAGCTGGCCTACTAGTTGGTGCTTGCAGCTACTGGACCACGACTATGCGCAGCTGAAATGGTAGCAGCTGATGATCTAGTGTGCTCGTGCCATCTGTGCTGCACTCCGGCTCTCCCGAGCAGAGGCTCAGTGGTTCAGTGGTCTGCTCCTCCGCTGCTCTCCCAGTAAGGAGGGAGTGATCTCAATGGCTGCATGAGTCCACAGTGAAAATGCAGCTCTGGCTGCTGCCAGCCACAGCCCTCTCTTTGTTCCCAAGCTGTGGGTCACGGAGGGGACTTCCTTCTATCTATGGAATGAACTTGTATGGATTGCCCTTGGTGTCATTCACCTCTCAGTACATTTCTGTCGTCATTCATTCACTCATTCATTGATAAATAAATATGCTTTAGGCATTAGGCACTGAGAATACAGCAGGATGGACTGATGGATGGGGTAGCACCTAATGGAGAAGATAAGATGCACACAGTTATTACAGATGAAGTGAGTGTGCTGAAGGAAATAAATAGAATGTTGAAATAGAGTCATGGGAAGACCCCTGAAGGGTAGAAATGCAAACAGCTAAAGGGGGAGGAAGGGTGACCAAGTCAGGTTTGGGGGGTCATGAGCCAGGTCACCTGAACTGGCAAAGCTAGTGAGGAATCCGTGTTGTGTTCTAAGATCCAAGCTGTGACATTCGGCCTCTCCCAAAGCAGAGGGACAGAGTGAACTGACCTGAATGTGACTGCATCGGGAGGTCCGGGGGCTCACAAGAGTCAGGGGCACTGAAAACCCAAGGGCTCACCCATTTTCAAGGGCACTGAGGGCCACGTGGCAACACATCCTGTATGGCACAACTGACCAGCCATTAGGCGTTCTTGGGGAGATCAATGGCTTCTTCCAGCACTCAGTGCTTCTCAACCAATGGGGTTCCTTTATTATTTTTAAGGAAACACACATACACTTGGAACAAAGTAAAATTTCTAAAAGCATAAACTACTCATTTTTCTTATGAAAATGAAAATACATGGAAATTAAATATTGAATAATCAATGGATCCGGGAAAAACTTTTAAAAGGTTTTAGAGTCAAATGACCATGGGAACACAACATGCCAAAACCTAAGGGACACAATGAAAGAATTCCTAACAGAATTTTATAGCTGTGAATGCACTAATTAAAAGAATACAGAAATAACAAATAAACAACCCAGTCGTGCATGTAAAGGTCCCAGGAAAACAAGAACAATCCAAATCCAAAATGAGTGGAAGGAAAGAAATGACAAAGGCCAGAGTGGAAATTAATGAAATCAAAACTGAAAAATCAATACAAAGCATCAATGAATCAAAGAGTTGGTTCTCTGAAAGAATAAACCCTTAGCCAAATTTACCAAAAAGAAGGAAAGGAAACAATGCAACAAATCATTAACAAAACCATTATTCAACCAACTTGGTTTTATCCCAGGGATGCAAGGATGGTTCAGCATATACAAGTCAATAAATTCTTCACATAGAAGCAAGGACAAAAGTCACACAATCATCTCAATAGACACAGGAAAAAACCTTTGATAGAAAGCCAAATCCATTTATAATAAAAATCCAGACAGAAATAGGTGTAGAAGGACCTTATCTGTCATTTATGACAAACCCACTGTAACATTACTTTAAATGGGGAAATACTGAAAGCTGTTTAAAATTGGGAATGAGATGGAGGTATCCACTCTTACCACTACTGTTCAATATAGTACTCAAAACTTTAGCTAGAGTAATCAGGAGAATAAATAAAAGGGATAGATATAGAAAAGGAAGACATCAAACTATCCTTATCTGCAGATGACATGATCTGTTACATTAAATACCAAAAAAGTTCCACCAAAAGACTCTCAGAACTAATAAACAAATTCAGCAGAGTAGCAAGGTATAAAATCAACACAAATCAACAGCCTTACAGTATTCCAACAATGAAAGAAATCAGGAAAACAATCCCATTCACAGTAGTTTAAAAAATTAAATACTTAAGAATTAACCAAGGAAGTGAAAGATCTCTATAACAAAAACTAGTACTTTGAAACAAGAAGGAAAAAAATTGAAGAAGACATCAGAAAATGGACAGATGTCCCTGATCCCATATAGGCAAAACTAGTATTGTCAAAATGGATGTATTACCAAAAATGGCACATAAAATTTAACGTAATCCCAATAAAAATATCCACAGCATTCTTCACACAATTAAAAATAATCATAAAATTTATATGGGACCAGAGGAGATCCAGAAGAGCCAAAGCACCAAGAGCAAACCAAGAGGCTTCACAATCCCAGGTTTCAAGTTTTATTATAAAGCTGCAGTGATAAAAACATGGTACTAACACAAAAACAGACATGCAGATCATTAGAACATAATCGAGGGTGTAGAAACAACCTTAGGCACATTCAGCTCCTAACCTTCAACAAAGAGGCAAAGAGCTAGAGAAAAGATGCCTCTTTAACAAATGGTGCTGAGAACTGGTTATCCACATACAGAGGAATGAATGTAGATCTCTCACCCTCTACTAAAGTCAAGTCAAAATGGATCAAAGGCCTACATATAAAAAACAGAAACCCTGAATCTGCTGCGAGATAAAGTAAGTTAAACTCTTGAAGACATAGGCAAGGACTTTCTCAACAGAACCCCAACTGTGTATGAAATAACACTAGCAATCAACAAATTAGATCATATCAAATTTAAAAGCTTCTACAGAGCAAAGGAAACAAACAACAGAATGAAGAGACAACCTACAGAGTGGGAAAAAAATTTTGCCAAATACTCCTCAAAAAACCCACATCTGGAATATATAGAGAACTTGAAAAAAATTAGATTCCTCAAAATAAAAGGCCCAGTCAAAAGTATGGACAAGTGAAGTGAACAGACACTTTTTAGAAGAAGTACAAATGACCCATAGGTACACGAAAAAATGTTCAACATCTCTGGTTATTAGACAAATTCAAATAAAAATATCCTTGGGATTCCATCGTACTCCAGAAAGAACGGCTATTACCAAGAATGCAAAAGTCAACAAAGGCTGATGAGGCTGTGGGCAAAAGGAACCCTACTACATTATTGTGGGAATGTAAACTAGTAAAATCAATATGGGAATCAGTATGGAGATTCCTCAAAAAGACTAAAAATAGAAATTCTCTTTGACCCAGCTATACTTCTCCTGGGTATCTTTAGGAAAGTTAAAGACAACATATTAGAGCAATACACACATACCCATGTCTACAACAACACAACTGATAATAGCTAAATCTTGAAAACAGACCGTATACCCATCATCACATGAGTACATAAAGAAAGCATGGTATTTATCCACAACTCTGCCATAAAGAAGGATAAACTTGAGTCACTTGTGGGAAAATAAATGCACCTTGAGACCATCATGCTACATGACATGGAAGATTAAATATCACATAGCTTCTCTTAGATAAGAAACCCAAAGTTTAAATAATTTAAAGAGTGAAATAAAAGGCAGATGATGAGAAATAGGGAGATGGACTTTGTGGTGATGGAAGGTAATCAGGGAATGGGGCACACAGGAGGGAAAGGAGAGGAAGGGCAAATAAAAAGATCAAGATGTGATATGTGTGTGATATACATTCCCCACAGCGGATGTATTTTTTATGTCTTTTCCTGTAGATTTAGTGTTTTTTTTTTTTTGTTTGTGTTTTTTGTTTTTTTTTTTTCCAGTACCAGGATCCGAACTCACAACCTTGCACTTGCCAGGCAGGTGCTGTGCTGCTAAACTAAATCCCCAGCCCAGATTTAGTGTTTTTGTTTTAATATTTAGATCTTTGTTACATTTTGACTTTAGTTTAGTGCATAGTGATAAACGTGGGTCTAGTTTTAGTCTTCAGCATTTGGAAAGCCAGTTTTTCCAGCACCATTTGTTAAAGAGGCTATCTATCTTCCGGTGAACATTCTCAAAGATAAGGCGGCTGAGTGCATTTGTAGTTGTGTCTCCATCTTCTGATCTGTTCCATTGGTACTCAGGTCTCTTTTATTGTCAATAACATGCTGATTTTATTGCAGTAGCTTTGAAGTATAACTTCAAATCAGGATTTGTGATGTCCCTTGCCTTTGTTGCCCAGGATTTCCTTTGCAATTTTGGTCTCTTCTGTTTCCAAATGAATTTTAGGAATGTTTTCTCTAGCATTAGCATACCTATGAGGTATGCTAATGTCTATTGATCAGGATTGCATTAAATCTGTGTAGCAGTTTTGGGAGTATGGCCGTTTTCCCAATATTGGTTCTTCCTACCCATTTCCATAGCATCGGGTATGTTTCCATTTTCTGATATCCTCTTTGATCTCTTTCTTCAGAGTGCTGTAATTTTCAGTGTATAGCTCTTTTACTTCTTTTGTTAAATTGATTCCTAAGTATTTCATTTTTTTTTTAATGCTATTATGAAAGGTTTGGTTGCCCTAATTTCTGTCTCAGTAAGTTTGTTATTTTTTTTTTTTCGATGCCGGGAATCGAACACACAACCTTGCCCTTGCTGGGCAGGTGCTGTGCTGCCGAGCTAAATCCCCAGCCCAAATGACAGATCACTTCACAGCACCTTTTTCTTTTCTTTTTTCTTTTTTTTTTCTTTTTTTTTTTTTTTTGTGTGTGTGTATGTGTGTGGTACTGGGGATTGAACTTATGACCTTGCAGTTGCCAGGCAGGCACTTATGCCACTGAGCTATTTCCCCAGCTCCCCAGTTTGTTCTTTGTGTACAGGAATGGTATTGATTTTTTTCAGTTTTGTCGATTTAATGTGATGCTGGCTCTTGGTTTGTCATAGATGGCTTTGATTAGCTTGAGGTAAAGACCATCTATTCCTATTTTCTGTAGGGTTTTTATCATGCATGAGTGTTGGACTTTATCAAAGGCTTTTGCTGCATCATCTGAGATGATCGTGTGATTTTTGTCTTTGTCTCTATTGATATGGTGTATTACATTGATTGATTTGCATATGTTGAACCATCCCTGCATTCCTGGGATGAATCTCACTTAGTAATGGTATATAATCTTCTTGACAATTTGTTGCATTCTGTTTGCTAGTATTTCATTAAGGATTTTTGCATCTATGTTTATTAGGGAGACTGGCCTATAGTTCTATTTTTTGGTTGGGTCTTTCCCAGGTTTTGGTATCAGAGTAATACTTGCCTCCAGGAATGAGTTAGGAAGAATTGCTTCCCTTTCAATGTTATTAAAGAATTTGAAGAGTATTGGCATTAAATCTTCTCTAAATTTCTTGTGAAATTCAGCTGTGTACCCCTCAGAACCTGGGCTTTTCTTTGTTGGTAAGTTTTTTTTATTATGTTTGCAATTTCATTGACTGATACTGGGTTATTGGGAATTTTTATATCTTCTTGATTTAGCTTTGGTAATTCATATGTTTCTAGGAATCTGT